TTTTTCAGTTTGACATAATTTCAAAATGCCTGTTGCCCTTTACAATGTGTGCAAGTTTCATGATAAATGGACCAAAAGAAATTAAACTAAATTACTTTGTAAAAGTAGAGCTTTTTCCTTCTCATGTAAAGTTAGCATTTTGGAGATTCAATGTTTTGTTCTGACAACAGCGATATATATACATATATATGTGTGTGTGTGTGTGTGTGTGTGTGTTATGGGATCAATATACATGTCAAACATATGGCTTGAACATTGCAACTGCATTTAATAATGTGCTAAAATTTCATGATGATCCAAAATAAATAATAAAACCTCTTTACATTACTTACATTAAGTTATTAATGTTTTGCCTTCTCCTGTAAAGTTGCTATTTTGGAGATGCTTTTTTTTATATTACAAACTTGACATAGTGTACACTTGACATATATTTGAAAAATGTATTTTAAACATTAAACTTAGTGTGAATGACAGCACTACAGAATTAAGTGTTTTTGTCATGTTTAACTCATTCAATCAACAAGGGATTGACTTCAGTTGCTGAGATCCTGTGAAAAGTGGTGTGGTTATCGAAGAATAAGCACTTAACTGATGAGGAGCCTCCATAAGAGCAAATCTTCTGTTGTGCTGCATCAAAGACAGGCTGGACCAGCTCAGAGCAGGTCAATCAACTGACCTAAGCTCTGTTTATGGGAGGACTTTTTTTTTTTGACATACTGGACAAAGAGCAATAGGCCGAAACTCTCCAGACAAGTGGGTCAGCATCCACATAATGCACTAACGCCGAAGACATCACTGGAGAGGCCTCTGGAGGTAAAGGTGTTGTAGGAGGAGCTGCAACAACACTGAATGGTGGGTGAGAGGAGAAGGCAGGGAGGGAGCAGGGCAGGGGAGGGGGGTAGAAAGTCGTAAAAAGCTGGGTGCACTGCTCTGGCCCCTGGCTCTTCATATCTTTTACATTTCTAATTAAAAGAGATAAAGAGTGAGGGAGTCATCAATCCTACAGTGATTTCCCTGTTAAGGTTTTAGAGGAGGCTATAAAGCAGGCAGCCCGGCTCCATTGATTTTATAATTAGCCCCCGTCAGCCCGCGCAGGGGGAATGGAGGGAATACAGAGGAAGAAAGGAGGAGAGAGGGGTAGAGAGAGTGAAAGAGAGGGAGAGAGAGATGGTATAAAAAAGCCAGAGAGGAAAATGGGGTGAAGGTCAGCAAAAAAGTGGTTAGGAGGCAAAAGAGAGGAACATGAGGGGGCAACTGTCCAGTTCTGTAGTTCTGACATATGCAATAGCTCCTATGGTAAATCGTTAGCACTGGCTACATAGCTTAAAAAATAATGGTCTTGCACTAAAATCATATAAGGATGTGCAATTCAACCAGTGGCACGGTACTTGTGAGAACATCACCCCACGAGAAATGGAGCCAAGAGTGGAAAGTAACTTAAACAGTGTGAAAGTCGAACTGTATTCAAAATGTATCTTTTTTTTACACTGTTCATGTTTCTGCTCAAAAAATAATATCATGTTTCATCTCCCACCCCCTCATCATGCTAAAAATGCTCAGCCAGCTCGGAGGCCCTCTCTGATACTGTCATGCTGTGGAAGGAGAATATGTTATGGCTTCCAATTCACATTTTCAAATTGCAAGACCTGCAAATTTAATTATATCCTACATTATTCACTCGTGTTCCACTCTAAAATCCCTGCGTATTCCTTCTGTACATTTAGTTACCTATTCCTTTAATTCCATCAGGCAATTAATGGTCCTGACATCCGTAGTTATATGTTCTTTTTCACCTGTTGCATTTGTTTTAAAGAGGGAAAGCTCTCTTTTATGTATAAAAAATTGCCAAGTTATTTTAGATATAAAATAGAATGACTTCACCACAATAAGGACTGGACAATAAATTATTACATTAACAAAATTTTATTACTAAGATCCACCAAACCCCTTACAGTACTGCACAGTCTAGAAACTATGCTTTAATCCAAAAGCTTCAGACTTCAAAACTTTTAATCCAAAAGTTTCAAACGGATTGTAAAACAATATCTCACGCATCAGGCAGTGTATTCGTAGCATTCAACCTTCTGAGAGAGAGCTTTTACAGGCATTAAACTCTTTTGATGTCTGTTTCCTATCAGCCTCGTTAACAAAAATTCTGATTGGAAATCTTCTCTAAAACGAAGCATTTCACATCAAACCAGTCTGAATTACTTTGTTTACATGTTAACTATTTAATTATGCAGAAAAACCGGCGAGAGTGTCCTTAAAATTAAACATCAAATCAGCCAGTATTATTATGATGCGCAGATTTCATCAAAACATCTACTTCGCCTGAATTTTGTTTGTATTTTTACCATTTAGTCACCAAGCAATTTATTAGGAACACCTGTACATCTCCTCATTCATGCAGTTATCTAATCAGTTTTGTGTGGCAGCAGTGCAATGCAGAAAAACATGCAAATACAGCCCAGCAGCTTCAGGTAATGTTCAAATCAACCACCAGAATTTGGCGTCAAAAGCATGAATCCATAGACTCAGCCTGCCTTGTGTCACCAGTCCAGGCTGGTGGAGGTGGTGTAATGGAGTGGGGAATGTTTTCTTGGTATATATTGGACCTGTTAATACCAAACAATCATTGCTTGAATGCCACAACCTATTTCATTACCGTTGCTGACCATGTGCATCTCAACATGGCCACAATTTACCCATCTTCGAATGGCTATTTGTAGCATGATAATGCACCAGGTCACAGCAAAACCTGTCCCAAACTGGCTTAATGAACATGGCAACAAGTTTAGTGTTCTTCAGTGGGCTTAAATGTCATCGGAACTGAATCCAATAGAACACCTTCGGGATGTGGTAGAACAGGAGATTCGCAGTATGACTGATTATTGATTTGCTATAAGGTTCCATTACTTATTAGCCACGACAGCCTTGTAGCTCAAGTGCAAAAGTAAAGAAGCGAATTTCAGAAACCGAACATGTGTAGACTGATCAACTAGGTTTAGTATAAGGGGATTATTATGCAAATCTGATTTTAAACTTTTGCTTTAATCTCCCAATATACATAGTTATATGCTATTTTCTGTATTAATGAAGGGAATCTCTTTTATGCATAAAAATGCCATGTTATTTTTATATTTTAAAAAATAATGACTTTGCCAAAATAATGACAGGACATCAAATGATTACATTAACAGCATTTTATTACTGAAACCCACCCGAACCCCTTACAGTACTGCACAGTCTAGAAAATACATACTGGATAAATGAATAGACGATTAATTGCACAAAAAGAGCAAACTCAAACCAAAAAGTGAAATTACTGGAAACAAAGTGAGAGACTTATTGCCATGAACTCAGCTGCTCTGAAGAGAAGAGCTCCACTGCATCTCTGAGATGTTCTAGATACAGTTCTAGACAGGAGTTAAAGCTCAGGAGGATTTTACAGGATCTCATGGTACTGCAAACATGAAACCTAAATGGCACTGCAGATGATCTTGAGCCATGGTTGACTTACGACAACGGCAAAAGCTACAAACCACCACAGGATGACATGCGCATTACACTTCAAAGATTTTGTTGTGCTTTTGTGGTCAGGATGCTGACCGTTCAGTCAAACTGGGACACGGTCAGTGCTTGGAAAACACACAGTTAACACTGACGTCTAGGCTAAATTCAGGTAGTAACAGTATGAGACCTCACACATGAAGGAGCTTTTGTAAAAACCTCTACCGTTAACTTTACTGCACAATTATGCTGTATGAATGTAAGGCTGATTACTGTCAGTAGGCTACAAAACTTTCCATTGTAACAACATCTGTTCAAATGTAACAGGGAGAACAGTAAAGTGTGGGAGTAAACCAAAAAAACTTTACAGTAAAATAAGTGATAACCATTACATGTCAAAGTGAATGAAGGTTATGAAATGTTCAGTATAAAAAGCTATAGATACATATCAGTCAAATGGTAAACCCAAAAGTAAGCATAGGTTAAAGGGGAATTCCACTGTTTTTTCCAATTTCCTGCATAATTCAGTGGTTGAGATATAAACAAAGTTATTCAGAGTGGTTTAATTTAAAACGGCACATTGTAGAGAAATTTACTGACTTAGATTTCTTTAGAGTGGTGGTGACCTGAACCAGGGGTCAACACAATTGTAGCCATTTTATTCACTATCCAAAACCAACAGTGAACCTACATGTCTTCTGAGCCATTATATGTAATGTTGATGATGGAAAAACAGTGATAATTATGAGACAAATAAGTTTTCTTTGGCTACTGCTTTGCCTTACCACACCCTGTATGGACCTCTTTGCGATAAATGGGTTTTAAAAAACATGTTTTAATCCAAAACTTGATCTCAAAACTATCATAAAATAATAGGTGCGTTTAATGCACTCAATAATACAACCATAATCAGATTTCTGCAGTTATCTGATTATACAAATGGTCATGTAAACAGCATAGTCCTTATTCTTAGATCGGAGTAAGGTCTAGAAATCTGATTAAGAGATCCGATAAAGAGAGCTGGATTTTAGCTCAGTAATCAGATTTCATGTAAACTTTTGCTCTGATTTCTTTCGGATTTCTCAGTCTGAGCATGTGAGAAAACAGACTGAGGTACCGGAAATAAGCAAGTAGTGTTGAAGCGAGATGGCAGCAAAACACTTTTGGAGCAACGCTGCAACCAACTGCATGCTTGACAAAATGAAGGATTTAAATATTCTTCATCTTCTAGATGATGTTCATATTTTGTAGGTAAAGTGGCACGGTGTTTATTAAAAAAAAACAAAAAACAAAAAAAACAAAGCTGCGGCATGAAGTTTGAGTTTTATATTGCGCTTACGTCATGGTCCTCTTCTTTGAGTTCACTGGCCGGTTGCGAAGCAGAAATCTGATTACTGTCTGACTCATGTAGACCCGGAGTTTCCCATTGTCTGATTATTATCAAGTGCATGTAAAGCGTTGATTGGATTACTGACTCTGATTTTCTGCAGTTTTCGGATTATTAAGTGTATATAAACGCACTCAATGTCTCAGCCACCATGCAATGTTTTCATAACTGCTCTCTCTTTGGATGTCTGGTTCCTATCAGCATCATTATATATTTTCTCTAAAACGGAGCATCACACGTCAAACCGGTCAGAATTACTTTGTTTGCATCTTAACCATTTAATTATGCAGAAGAATCGGTGGGAATCCCCTTTAAATGAAGCATCAAATCAGCCGATATAAGTACTGCCAGTAAGATACGCAACATAAAACCTTTATGAATACTAGAAAACTTTTTTTTATTTATTTCAAACATTTTAATTGGGTTGTTAAATTCTCTAAGAACAAAACTGATTGAAAGTGTCATTTCCTCCACAAACTATCTTTGCTAAGGCTAAAAATGGCAAACAAGAGGCACGACAGCCACATGGCCTTTCATCAAATCATTAATAACAAAAATCAGATTAAAATGAATGAAATTCCTTTGCATCCCAGCTACGTTGCTGTTTGAGACACGCAGTTAGAACAGCTGGGCATTCCGATGCTAACTGGAGAGCTAACGTTCCACCGAATTCCAGGTATTTTCACAATAAAATGGTGATTTATCCGCTACAGAAGCATCCTGCATAAGAACTTGTGCATGCATTTTACATGCAGATGAGAATTCCATTGATGTTTTTCATATTTACCCTTTACTTGGACTGAGTACGGTTTTATATTGATTACGGTTTTATATCATACTTAATAAAAACGATGGCAAATAAGAATATAATGGCAGCAACTTATATCAATTTCACACCTGAAAAGTGATTGTTATCATTTAATAGTAGAAAGCCTTGCATAAAGGAAGGTAAAAGTCTTATCATAGGGAAAAAATGGCAAGATTGCAGGAATCTAAAGTGCCACTCGAGACTCTTCGTACAACTTTCATTATCATCTCAGCCTCAAATCAACCTCATCTGCCATTCATTAATACATTCATGCAATTTCTTTTCCGACACTAGCAACCTGCTTAGGTAGCTGTTAACTTACTTATCAGCACTACAAAAAATAATATATATTACTGACACCAGAACCTTAAAGTAAAGAAACAACTAAATCCTACACTCTCAAACCTATAATAATGTCAGTGATAATGTGATTAAAATTATTGCAACAAATCTTGCTCTTATAATCTTACCAACCAGTATAACAATATAAGCCTCATGGTAGTACTTGGGTAAATAGCTGTAAGCAGAATTTAAAACTAACACGTCTAAAAACACACAAAGACGTAGTAACAAAAGTGCACACACATACACACACGCACACACAGTCTTCTCCGAACATACCGTCATACGCTCTCCTTCGAGAGCTCCTCTGCGCTTGTCTTTTGATATGTGTTATGGATTTGTGCAAGTAAAAAGATGTGAGAGACTGACTGGTCTAGTAGCTTGTGCATACAGAAAGTGCATATAAAGTGTAAAGCAAATTGCATATTCAGACAGTTTGTCAGTATGTCGTTGAGGGCGAGTGTGTTACTGTACAAAGATGGGTAACACGCTTCATCCTGGCGCAATGTCAACCCGCTCCGGCAGTTCCGCTCCTCACCACAGGGGGCTCTCTGCCAGGTCACTGAAGAGAAGCAGAAGAGAGGAGACTGTTAGGAGTGGAGTGTTTCCAGGGCCCCAGCTTTTGCCTTCAAAGATGCAACACAGGAAGTGAGCTGATTCACTTCCTTTCATTTCGAGCTGCCTTCAGTCCAAAAATTAAGCCACATGGCCCTGTCCTTTTCTCTAGAGACTGGACTTTTGTGGTCATTTGATCCACAAGCTCAACCATCACTGTATAGCTTCAAAATTAATGCTTTTCTTTTACAGTGCAGAAAATGTTTGAAGCACAAAACAGGTTCATATATATATAACTTTTAAACTTTTTTTGATTGCAACATTGTTGTTGTTATTGCACCATTATATATATATATAAAATAAGCAATAAATGATCATATTCATTTCATCAAAATACAATGCTTCATAGTGCATAATGTCAGTGGGTAAAGACATTTTTATAGCATTTGTTTTTTCAGGAATTCATTGTTTTTAAGTACTTCTTATTATTTATTTCTTATGTTTATTATTCATTTATTATGTATTTTTCATCAATCAATTATTTTGACTATAATAATACTAATAATAATACTATTAACAATATTACAATATTGTATATTGTAATATAATGTACTATTTACAATATTAGTAATTATTACAATTATTATGATCATTATTATAATATTTACATTTTAGTTGAGGCTGTTTTCACTGTGTGGTCGTTATCTTGCTCTATTTTGTTCTCTAATTCTGCAATATATTTTTATACAACCAACTAATGATGGAAGAAGTCACCTAAAATTCATACAAACTCATGTAAGCAGTATCCTCACCAATCACAAGGCTGATATGGGTTGTCCCACCAACACATTAACAAACCTGTCTTCCTCAGTGGTCTCTCTGCGTACCAAATTGGGTAATATTAATGAACTGATTAATTTAAACCTTCCTCTGAACTGAAGTTTTACTTGATTATTTTTTGCCACCTGCTGCTATCGAGGCATGTACAAAGAGCAGTGGGTTTAGTCAACATGATGACTGGTTGGTGGGGCAACCCCCTGACACAGGGCCAGACCCAGTGCCAAATACTTAAATGATGCAGGCCTATTTCAAATTTTCAGCAGATCTGTGGGGGTGCAGCCTATGTAAAATGCAGTGTGTCTTGAAGTGGGTGGTTTTCTAAAACCTGGAGATACCGTGAAACCATATGTAGAGATGAAGACTGCAAAAGTCACAATAGTGGCAAGAATTTCCCCACCTGATTGACTGGTAGATCATCTTTAATATCAATACTGTTTTACAATATTCGCTTAGCATTAAATGTTTGAAATAGCTTGACTTGCTATTTTATGTACAGAAAGGAGGGATTATTAATTTTATTTATTTTTTTTTTAAACAATTTGGCTGATCAACCCCACTCAATGCGAGTTCTCTGAGTTAGTCTCAGCCTTAGACGCTCGACCCACAGAAGAGCCGCCTGATGGACACTGTTCACCAAAATGAATACAACTATAAGAATCTTGTTAGTTACACTGTTCTTGTCTATTTGCACTTCTGTGTGTGTCAACTGCAGCCATAAACCTTTCTTATTTACTTCGTTCTGGTCTGCACACTATTACAACAATAAGCCTTTTAGAGCAAGCAAAAGTCTTTTTCCAGTAAATTCTCTGGTGTGACTTAATACAGCTCTTCCCATTTCCCCGGGTTTTATTTCACTTTTTTGTAGCAATTTTTTTTTAAATCATCCTAATACATCATGTAAAACAGCAGTTTATGGAAGGCTGTTTTGCATGTCAATCAAACGGCCCATTCCTGTCAAAGGAGGAGGTTCTTAGCCAGAAGAACCGGATTCTCTGGTGGCTTGCAACACCAAGAGTTGTGAATAGAAGGAAAGAGGAGAAGAGAATATTAGGTAGGGGAGAAGAGAGGACGAGTGCGCGAGCGAGTGAGTGAGCGAGTGAAGGAAGTGGGAGAGAGATGGTTTTAATGATGCTGAAAATTGGCCGGTGAGCGCCGACTACCCTTTCGGTAAATCATTGCTACGGCTCGCTGTCAACTTATCTGTCCTTCTGTCCTCCCATCACAGCACTCCCCCCGTCCGCCACTCTCGCTCCTTCACTCTCTTTCTCTGTCTATCCGTATCTCTCTCTCTCTCGCCCCTCTCCCTCACTAATTTTATGAGGCGGTATTCAAAACTTCCATCTCCGTGCCATATTCAGCCTGTCACTGTAAATCTTGTCCTGAGTGTGCGCGTGTGTATGTGACACAGTCGGACTGTTTGAGGAGGAGATGTGCAGAGGACTCGTGAGGGCAGTGTGTACTTGACAGTGACGTGGACACCTGAGTGGACAGAGTGCACAAACATGACATGAGTACAAACGTGCATGAGGACAGGTGAGGGAGAATCCGAGTGTGACAGCATGACAGGGATTTTATGGGCTTTGTGTGTACCCGAGAGTGTTGTCTCTGTGGTCAGGCAGGAGCAGGGCTGTCTCTTCTCCAGAGCTGTTTCCTTCTGAATGAGCAACCTCATACTCCTCTTCCTGTAAGACAAACACCCGCACACAATTAAAAGCTCCTGTAGACCTTTAAAGTCTCCCAAAGTCTAAAAATCCATTTGAAATTTAAAATCATAAAATATCTGAAAATGTCCTTTTTTTAGTGGTATTAACCCCTTAAGGAAAATGCAAAACAGTGGCTAATTCTGCTATTTAATCTGCTCCACTTATGTGATTTCTCAGTGCTTCTGTTGCTAACAATGCCAAAAAGTCCTAGATTTCTTTTTGAACAAAAAAAACACATGAATTGCAACATCAGTCACATCAGTAGCATTTTATCTTTACTCTAATTAAACACAACAATAATAAGCTCCTCTGAATGAATAATCTAGTCTGCGCCCATGCAGGAGTTGTGCAGTCTCAAAGCTTTTGTCACTAACAAGCAGTGGAAGCTTTCACTCCACCATTAGCATTGTGCAAACTGCAGGTCTAAATCACTACATACTTACCTCAAACCACAGTGAGTTGTTGAGTAATCAAAAAAAAACACCTGCTTTTAGTTTACTGTTGTCTATAAAATCAGCAAAGGTGATGTTGCATAGCTGAAAAGTGTGTTTTTGTCTATTGTTATAGATAACAGTATGTCATACAGTATCAGAAACACAAACGAGTCTATTTGAGATTACCAAACAACATTGCAACGTTTGAGTTACAAACAGTATTGATACACAAATACCCAAGTATTTATATTTCATTAATTATGAATATTGTTAACATGTATTAAGCCTATTGTTAGACTAACAGGTTACCAAATATCCTTTCTGTCTTTATCCACAATTGGCACTGCTTCCTTCTGGTAAAAGCAAAGTTACTGTCAGTGACGCTATAATAGCATTTAGTGTAGTGGATTAAATGCTCATATCAGGGGGTTCAAATCTGAAGTTCAGACAGAAATCAGAATTACCACTATAAAGAAGATGCATAGTTTGTCATAGTAGGCGGGTTAATGCTTGACAAGTGGGTAAATGTGAGTCAGCAATACTGTTTTTGAAACTGGCATACACTGATGAGCCAAACATCATAGCCGCTCACAGATGGAGCAAATAATGTTGATTATCTTGTAACACCGGCAAATGTAAAGATATGAGATATGTTAGATGATAACCCCACAGTCGGTTCTCACAGTTGACGTGTTGGCTGCAGTAGAAATGGGTAGGTGTGAAGACCTGAGCAACAGCCAGATCGTTACAGCCAGGTGTCGGAGTGGCAAGGCTGGTGGGGCGCACCCAGTCAGCAGTGGTGAGGAGGGCCAAACCATGAACCGGCAAATGGGTGCTTGGCGCCCAAGGCTCATCAACGTGAGAGGACCACGAAGCCTATCCCATCTGGTCCGAACACACAGAAGAACTACAGTGGACTAAGTTACACCTTTTTAATGATGCCAGGGGAGGAATGCGTCACAACACAAAGTGTCGCCTATGGGTTGCGGAGCTGCAGACCAGTCAGAGAGCCCATGCTAACTCCTGGTGAAAGCACTGCAATGGTAACGCAAGCATTGGAACTGGATCTTGAAGCAATCTGTAGGAAGAACACAAGTTGGTGGAGGGAGCCTGATGCTATGGGCAACGTTCTGCTGGGAAACGTTGAGAACATTACTGTCAGTTGCCTCTTTTAGCAGGACAATGCGTTCTGCCACACCGCACACGGTGTTTGGGAATAGTTTTTTGGAACATGATAAAGATTAAAGTGTTGTGCTGGCCTCCGAATTCCCCAGATCTCAATCCAATTGAGCGTCAGTGAGATGTGTTGAAACAGGTCTGATTTGCAGTGGCTCCACCTCACAGCTTACAAGACTTAAAGGATCTGGTACTGTTGTCTTTGTGCCAAAACCAGAGAGCAACTTCTTGTAGAGTTCATGACTCAGTGGTTTGGAGCTCTTTTGGCGGCACGTGGACGACCAACAGTATATTAGGCAGGTGGTAAGATTTTGGCTCATCGATGTATGTAATAATAAAGAGAAAACTCTTTTTTCATCTTTAGATTGCGGTCATTTTTTGTGTTGGTTAGTAAAAACCTACAGCTCCTGGAGTTGATAACAGCCAAAACTATCTTTCCCTCAATGCTGGATGAGTGTCTCAGAAAGAAGGCATCCTTGATATTGATTGGTCAGCTGTGGAACCTTGGCACAACCGTCAACTTAACAAATCAACACAGTTTGAGGTAAATGTGTGATTTATCATGAGGTTTGTACAATAATTGGTGGAGTATAAGCTTCCATTACATCTTAGCTACATTAACCTCACACACACTAGACTGGGGGAAAGTGGAAAAAGGTACATTCGATTTTCCAACAAAGTATTCCTTGATTAATGTTTTGCTACATTAAATCAACAGCACAGTAAATGTGTCATTAAAAAAAAAGGACAACAGATAACTGGTCAACCAGCCTCACCGACTCAGAACTGTGCGTGGGTGTGTCATTGTTGGGCTGGTGTGGAGAGCAGAGAGGAGCCGGCTGGCTGATGACCACTGCGTGGGAGGTGTGGAGGTGTCGGGGGGAGGGAGGAGGAGTGGCCGGCAAGAGGAGGTCAGGCTGGGGCTGCTCACACAGACCGTAGTGGCTAAGAGCCCTGGAGGAGTGCGCCTCCTGCAGAGCCTCCGGATTCTCATCCTCCGAGTCCGTCAGGGGGCTTTCCGGACGACCTGCATGCCAAACACACACAGCCATGTGGGATTCACTGTCTTCCAAGTGCAGATATACAGTAGCCCCAGAGGTATGTGGATGGTTTAACCATTTCATCACTGGTAAACTGTAAGTGACTTCATAAAATGTTTAACATGATGTTTGTTTCAGAGAAAATGCTTACAGCATCAAACTAAAGGTAGACTCTTTGTATGGAGAAAGCCTGGAGAATAATTCTAAATAGGCTGTACTTTAGAGTACAATAAAGCACAGAGACGGAAATATTAAAGTCTGGCACTGTTTTTCTTCACTGGGATCATGAATTCTGTAGAGTACAGACTTTTTGGATGCAAACCTGCAGAAGTCTTCAAAGAAACTGCTCAAATGATAATGATCTGAAGCACACCAGCCACCTCGTTCTGGCCCAAAGAGCTTAATCCATTTCAAAGATGGCACAAATATCCAACTACTTTTTGGGGCCATTAAATTTCATGAGTAGTGTTATGAAACTGTAGAAATGTGTGATGATCACTGCTGTACAGCGCACAATCTAAAACATTCCTGAATATTTCATTCTTTGATATGATATAATGAATATTTTAAAAATGTGCCGTCCCATTGTAGCACTGCTCAAACTGCAGAAGTGTTGAATAAGGGTAAAGTGAAACCAGTGGACTATGGGCACAACTTCCCCCTTATCTGACAGGCAAAGGTATCTTTTAATGAACTTCTGCTATTTTAATACATGCAGTGGCCAGTCAATAATATTTATATAGGTGTACTATTGTAGAACTACAAACTCCAGCAGCACTGCTGTGTCTGATCCACTCTTACCAACACAACACTCACACTAACACACCACCACCATGTCAGTGTTACTACAGTGCTGAGAATGATCCACCACCCAAATAGTACCTGCCCTCTGAGGGTCCATTTGGGTCCTGACCACTGAAGAATAGGGTAAAAGGGGGCTAACAAAGTATGCAGAGAAACAGATGGACTACAGTTTTTAATTATAGAACTACAAAGTGCATCTATATAGTAAGTGGAGCTGATAAAATGGACAATGAGCGTAGAAACAAGGAGGTGGTCATAATGTTATGCCTCATTGGTGTGTATATATATAGGTCAAATTTAATTAATACATTTGTTGATTTTCTAATTGCAAATAAGATAACACTTCCTCTATAGGGAACTGCCCTATATTTATGATTTGAACTAACACGGTCTCTGAGCTAGTTAAGCATTTTCGCTTAATGACAGGTAGAAGTGAAAGGTTAAAGAAAGAAAAGTATGGAATTATTGGTTAATATTATTTTACATTTTTACATTTTAAAGGCAACAAGTCATTACAATTGGATGAAAGACAAGAATTTTGGCTTTTAAATTACATGATGTGATGAATCATGCCTGATATGGCCAAGGACATGAACTAACAAGCTAAAAAGGTCTAAAAAGGTCAATTCTGATTTCAGGTTGACTTTAATAAATGAATTTTCAACCAGATTTGTTACTCGTGACAGTGATATATCATGGAAAACAAAATACCCATATGCATGCACTTTCAGGTCACTGAGTTAAGCAGATGTGTTGAGTTAAACAGTCTGGCGTTGAGTTCGAGTGTGCTGTGTGACACTGTGCAGTGGTGCTTTGCTGTGCTGCACCACACTGACTGGTGTCCTTTGTGAGGCTGTGCAGAATCACGTTGCATGACTCTAATATTACAGGGTGAACAGTTACTCACTGCTCTGCAGCAGGGCAGTTGCACTCCATTTGGATTCACTCAGCGCCTCCAGTCTCTGCTCCAGCTGCCGGATGTACTCAATCACCTCCTACACATGCATGCGCAGACAAGGTCAAGGAGATGCACGTGACATTAAAGAGCTGTTGACACTTTCTTTGCCCTGACCTTAAAGACAGAGTCACTATCGTAATATAACACCAGACATGTTTCACCCTCACTGATGCTGTTTGTGTTTGAATGGTTCATGCCTTTGTTCCTTTTATGAGAGAAAAGCATTCTGTGTACTTTTTGCTTTTTTATGATCTTTTATGTACTGTACATTAAACCTTTATGTTCTTTTCCTTGGAAGATCAAGTGGGTTTATTCTAGACTGCACCAGAATACAGTGTAGTGTATAGAGGGGTGTGCTGTGTGGGCTTAGTAACTGAAGGCTCTGTGTAGTGTATAGAGGGGTGTGCTGTGTGGGCTTAGTAACTGAAGGCTCTGTGTAGTGTATAGAGGGGTGTGCTGTGTGGGCTTAGTAACTGAAGGCTCTGTGTAGTGTATAGAGGGGTGTGCTGTGTGTGTTTAGTAACTGAAGGCTCTGAGTAATGTATAGAGGAGTGTGCTGTATGTGTTTAGTAACTGAAGGCTCTGAGTAATGTATAGAGGAGTGTGCTGTATGTGTTTAGTAACTGAAGGCTCTGAGTAATGTATAGAGGAGTGTGCTGTATGTGTTTAGTAACTGAAGAAACAGCACACTCCTCTATATACTACACAGAGCCTGTGTTTGTATATGCAGACTGTGTTGGCTGAGTGCAGCAGTAGAGTGAAGCAGTTTGCCTGTTTCTCATTCTGCAGCTGCTCCTTTTCCTTCTGAGCCACCCTGAGACTGGCTTTCAGCTCCTGTAGCTCCCGTCGCGTCTCGCTTAGCTGCACCTGCACATGAACACAGGCGAACACATATGCACAGTTCAGGCCTCATCCATACGTATATCTCTGAAAATCAGGGCTGTCGATTAGGAATTTTAACCAATAAATACATGTTTCACCAATGCTTTCGTTTTTAATTTAATTTCCAATAAGTTGTGGATTGTATGCATGACTGTGCAAGAGCGCCATCTGTTCCAGCAGCCCTACTCAGTGATGCACAATTCTGGGCTTTAAGGAGTTTGAATTTAATTTTAACTGGTAGTGCCAGAGCCATTGATAAAGGGATATCACAAATATTTAATCATCCTAAGTGTAGTTTACACAATTTAGGGTAGCTGCAGATCAGTGACATGATGAAAATCTATGCTTTATGAATCTGAGTCATTAGCCAAGCGTCAACCCTGACACCCAGACATGGTCATTTGCAATCTACTCCCAATCGCTCAGCAATGAAGTGTGCAGCTGAAAAGAGCATTGTGTGAGACCACTTTCTGCAAGAAGATGCACATATGATGTGGTCAGATGTAAACTGTAATGCTGTATTAAAGTTCCAAAGACAGACAGCCCACTGTTTTGTCCACGGTTTCAGGGAAAAAAAGTGTGATGCACAGCGGTGCAAGGAAATCCCACATCCGGGGTGTAAAATGATGACAAGAAATAAAAATATGCTGCATATCTTGGTAGACAGAGATGGCTTTCAAGAGCTGCTGAGGCAAGGAACTTTGGGCAGACGCTGCTCATGCATATCGGACAAAAATCTGCACAGCAGACTGACTCGTCTGGATATTTTGGCCAATTCTCAAGAAAAATGATCAGGAGTGTTAAGTAAGGCTCCAGCTGATTCTTTATTTAAATGTGATATTGCATCTGTTGAGAATAGTATTAAACTATTGCCTACAAATGTGTTTATTAGCTAACAGGTAGTCTTTTTTGTCAACTTAAAGAAACAAGTTTAAAAGCTGCAAACTACCGATTGTTGTTGAAACTATGCATATGAGCCTGTCAACTTGCGCTAATAACGTAGTAATAGTAAGTACGATGACTACATTACATTATGCTGCGTTAATCCTTTCAATAAAGACTAAAGCCTTGTTTACATAAAACGCACTCCTGTGTTTGATGCTTTCATGGGTCATGTACATGATTTTAGACGTGCCGAATTTATTGGCCAATACGAGCTAGTTGCAGATAAATTGGTATTGGCATTCATAATGGCCGATAAATGACCATTAAGAGGCGGAGATGCGGGAGACAGATCCATCAACCACGTTTTAAATGTGTTGTTGCACAGTTTGTCCAATAGTGGGCGCTCTGCAACGTCCCTGCAGCACACGTGTCTGGAATGCCACAAATCACAATCAGCTGACCCAAGCAAAGTTGAGCACCACATGAAAGAGGTTATCAGCTTTCATGGTAAGTTGATATTTGTCATGTGAAATACATTACCTAAAAATAATAAAAATATCCCCATCGCTTCTCCTTTTAGCCTAAATAAGCCTGGCAGCATGCATGCCAGCCATGCCTGCTTTTACTGCAGTAGCATGAAAGCTGGTACTGTCAGGCAAACATTAGTAGTTGAGTGGTTTAGGCTAAGCTGTTAACAAACTTGATAATAGATTTATCTATGAAACAGTGTGGCAGTTCTAGTGTAGCTGTTGTAAACAAACAATGGTCCTATGTTTTCTCCCAAGTTCATCACTTCCAAAAATTCTCTGGCAACAACGCTTATAGAAGCTCATAACACTGTTCACTGCTACATTAGGTTAACCACAAAGTTACTTAATGCTGTTTTTCTCAGTGGAAAAACAACTAACGTTATTCAGTGCTATAGTTAGAAGTTAAACTATGGCGTTTAACTTATTCTGTCTAAATGAGGTGCCAGAATGTAACTGCTGCTCCATTTAAGGTGAAACGAGAAAATTAAAACCAAGAAACTGGCGACAGAGGGGACATGTAAATAAACGTGACCTGAACAAGTACCTAACGTGGGTTGGTAGCCAAACACAGTTATCTAGCTTCTCTGTAGTATGTATGCTGTAATGGCACAATTTTGTGAGAGCTCAGAGTGCACTGATATGCTGTAAGATGTTATTCATTTCTCAAAAATAAGTTCTGGTATAGTTATGAGTAACATGCCATGTGCAGACACTTCCCACTGTTATCCAGTTCATCATTAAATTCTCTAAACAATAACATGACTAATCATTCAATTTCATGTTGTGTGTGAAATCCCAAAGTTGCAAGTTTATTTTTAAAATGCATTATTTCACGTTATCTTGGTGAGGGCCAATATATCGGATATATCCGAATTTTTGAATCCTCAAATATTGAAATTGGTATCGATCTTAAAAATCCTATATCGGAATGGCTCTACTAATGATCGTTGGTTATCTGTTGAAAGAAATGGCATCCCTACCGTCAAGCGATCAAAATAATTAATCACGATAAATCACATTATTCTTTGTAGTTAATCTCTTCTGTCTACTTGCTCAAATTGGACCCGAAAGAAAAGATTTTTCAACGCAAGGCAGTGAATTTTGTTATTCTTAACTACAGTATTTTCATATTTGCTGGGTTCACATGAACCTGAACATGAAAAATCACAATTAACACAGGGTGAAAAAGAAAATATGGTGAACGCCACTTTCAATTTTCATCAACATCACATAGTGAGAGCAACACTCTGCTTTGTTGTGTCCTGTTTCGAGGGGAACTGGAGCCCCTTTGCTATTGCTGGTGCTACTGCACCTTCCACTTTGCTATTGCTGTTGTTAGTTTACTGCTGGTTGATTTATTCACAGTACTGTTACGACCCTTAGGGTGCATATACCTGAGTTTGCTGCCTTGCCCTCTTGTCTTCGTGTTCCACCTGTCTTTTTTACTAGGACCTGCACTTAGAGACTTCTGATTGGCTGCAGCAGGGGGCGCTCAAGCTATAAAAGGGCCTGGGAAAGCAAGATGGTGCTTGGTTGCTTCGGTTGTTGCGTCTGTGTCATCTGCTCTCCCATCTACCAGATCAAACCCAGCACCTTGGTTTAGCTTGTGTTAGTCAGCCATGATGTTTCTTGTAATGAATCATGTAACTCTTGTTCTCTATAGTCGGGGGTGAGCGGCACTGTTTTGTTTGCTACCATTTTCTTGTGGTTTGGTTCAGAGAGACAGGGTAGTTGTTTGTATCTTTCTTTTCATTGTAGGTTAGTTGATTTTGTTTCTAGCTGGTTTTGGGCATTAGCTTTATCTCCTTTTATTATATCTTCCTATACTGCATCTAATAGATGGCTAATGTAAATAAAGTTCTCTCTTTTATCTTGTTATGTTGCCTTTAAGGAATGGCAATTCAGATGTGACTGATGAAAGGAATACATGCTGACATTTCGCTATCTTATCTGGGTTCATGGTGTTTGGTCTGGTGGTTGGGTTGGCGTTTGGCCTATTTTTTATGTACGACCTCTTTTAGAATCCCCTAAACCAATGAGGTCGTAACAGTACAATGCCAAAGCGTCCTCGGGTGCCAACTTTATCGTTATTACTAGCATTGCCAGCATCAGCCCTGTGTTTTGCTTGTAAATGAAACTTCAGATATACTTCGGTGATCAACAAAATCAGAGCATGGCAGTTGCTGGAAATAACTTTGGCTTTATTGAGAGAGACATTAATGGATCTTACCATTTAAAAGCTGTGTTTGAACGAAAGGGCTACAGTCACGTATTCTATCATAGCAATGTACAACACGCAAGCAGCTGGGCTTCAAGTTGGAAACATGGATAGTCAAACTAATGTGTTGAAGACATTTGAAAAATGTTTTGTGTTAACGCATCACTATCGCCTCTACACAAAACACATTTTTTCATTCTGCTTAAACAATAAAACCTAATGTACACTAAAAGAAAGTCTCTCCAGCATCTGAAAATGTTTACTGGGGCATAGCAGTTCAGTAGGTGGAGGCAATACATCAGAATTTCATATAAGAACATTGCAAGAAAGTGTACTGCCTGAAATATGGTGCCCAAAGTTCAAAGAGGGCGTGACGGCATGTTCCAAACAAGATAACAAACTGCACACTGTAAATATGTAATCAGACCTGACAAAATCCACCACACAGATGCTAACCAATAACAACCATGACCAAGTTGATGCAGTGATGTCGGCATTTTCAAAAAGATATCTTTTACTCGTTCACAGGGAAAGCAGTTTTTCGTTTACATGTGGACGGGGTTTAAGTCTAAGGTCACGCATCTGTCGTCAGTAATATTGCTTGTCTTCCCTGATTTCATGCTTTATCCTCCACATGAGTGATCCAGCAGCATGGAGCAAAAATGTGCAACATGTGCTCACTTACTCGGTTGCAGTCTTTCTCTCGTCCGAGCTCCACCTCTGCCTTCTCCCTCTCCATCCTCTCCTCCTGCAGCAGCTCCTCCTTCTGCTGGATCTCATCGTTCAGCCTGTCTAAACGCACCCTTTCCATCTGAGAACACAACGCACTGTCACCTCACTGAGCCTGAAAATCTGCTGGTACTTTAGTTACCTCTGCTGTCGTTATTATATAATCGTCATGGCTGTGGAATGGGATATGTTATGGGGCTGTGGAAAATGTATGTTATTGTTTTCATTTTTTTTCAAAATAAAGGAGATTGAAGTAATATGTAAACATTGTTAAATCCATATATGGAAACTAAGCTACAAAAACAGATCATTTTGAATTCACTGTTTGTGATGTCGCAAGAACCAACTACTTTACATATATACACCTTTTCAGCCTACAGCAGTTTAGCCCTGCCTGTTCACACTGAAGTTATAGAGTGTTTCAGCCCAGACTGTTTCTTGAATGAGCCACAACACAGGGCAGTTAGCTCATTTACAAATGTCAGTCACAGTACTAAAAACAGCCGATTAATGTTAAGGAATATAGAGAGGGTGAAAAATGACCATGTACAAATGAATGAAAATTTTTGGTAGATAAAACCACACAAATGTTATAAGTGTGCCTCAAGGGGGGAAAAATAAATAAATAATAAATAAATAAATAAATAAATAAATAAAATGTAGGATTTGGGTCTTTAGAAAACAAGAAAACAATACATCCTCTATAACCTGTACAAAATTCAGCAGAACGGAGCCAAATGGAAATAAAAAAAAGACAGCACTGTTAGAAATAAAGGTTCTGTGCAGGTACATTTTTTGTTCATCAAGGTACAAACAATGTAAACGTACGCTCAATGGTACAACGGTGGTTTTAAGGTCGAATTGTGTACCTTATAGAAGTTTTTCCCATTGAAAAAGTACATATTTGTATCTTGTTATAATCTAATGTTTTAAAACAGAACAATAAAATAAAAGCCTGGAGACGAGACGGGGTGTGTGGAGTCAATACAACTTAGACAATATAATTTCAGTGGAATATGGTACAATTATGTTCCCTGAATAAAGGTACTGAGATGTACCCTCGAGGGTACCACCCCAGTGACAAGAGGGGTACTGCCCCAGTGACAGTTTCATATTTCTGAGAGTGGATATCCTCATTGTTAAAAGAACTGCAGTGGTTACTTGTGTCTTTTAGAACAGCAAATATCCTGCATAAATTACAGAAACAGTGAAGAGGCCTCTTACTGTTACTATACGTCATGTTCAGAAAACACTTTTAAGAAACAACTAAAAACATCTTTGTAATTTAGCTTTTATTTAAAATGTCTAAGGCAACGTTTTTTTTTAATGTATTGCTTATTTGTTCATTTATTTTGTATACTGTATATAACTTTATTCTTAACTTATTTTGTTGTCTATTTTACTGAATTGTATTTTGCATTTTTTTGATACTTCCAGTTTTATTTTTAATTTTAATTTCTGTGTTTTTGCTTCAATTTTATCCTTACTACTTCATTGTGAAGCACTTTAAGCTATAACATGTATGTATGTGTCATTGGTTTCTGATTCAATTCAAAAGCTATTTTTGTAAATCAAGAATGATTCAATTTGCCTGCGATTCGATTCGGTGACTTGGATCAACAGTTCAAGCTCAACAGCACAAAAAATATCAGCATCAAAATGATCTGCCACAGAATGCCTCTTACCGAGGAAACAGAACAAATGACTTGTTTTGTTGAAAGCACATCCTTTACAGAGAACACACATAAATATGACATTTTTCAATTAAGTCGTGTTTATTTAACATAGTGGAAAATTAAACATACAATATAAAATGTGCCGTAACTTTTACACAGGCCACATTTTATGTTTTATTTTTTCCCAATATGTTTAATTCGACCAAAAAACAGTAATTGTGCATTAAACTTTTCTGCAGATATGTGTTCTCTGTAGAGGTTGTGTAACCTATTTTCACTCAGAAAATCAACAAAACATGTACTTTGACCAGGGACACCTAAAAATTTTGCATATGACTGCATCTAACACAAGCTGGGGCTCGTGAAAAAACTCGGTGGCTGCTGTGGGTGATCAATGAGAGAAAAGGAAAATCAAGGAAATCCATGAATGATCATCACACCACTAATAAAAGTGCTCTAAAAAATACATTATTAATATTATTGTTATTATGTTATGCAACCCAAAACCTCACTGCATTTGCTATGACAATTCAACACACAATGTTTTTTTTTTTTGCACCCTAACTTTTTTTTCCCCCTCAGTGTCACATAAAAATCATTAATCAATTAATTAATAATTAAAAATGCTGTATTCCAATATTATGTCTGAAACAGCCTGGCAAATACTTATGTGTCAAACTATTAACACTGCATTTTGAATGTTTATACATGAAACTAATAGATTACAGGTAGTTAAAGACAACGTTTATTAGAAAAATAAAAAAAACTTTTACTCACAGACCTGCTGTAAAAACATTGTGTGGATCATTGCTATTTAGCAGATATCTAGCAGTTCTTCTCCCCACCCACCCCTGTCCACACCCCCTCTGCCTCTCTATCCCTGCCAGCTGCGCCCCCTGTCCCATCCCTCACCTCAACGCTGTGCTGCAGGCTCTCTCTCTCCTGAGCCCAGCTGGCGCGGCCCTCGCGCAGGGCCAGACTGGTGTCTGCGAGCTGCAGAGTGAGCTGAGCCGCCTGCAACCTGGCCTGGTGCAGCTCTGCCTGAGCGCTGTCCCTCTGAGAGGTCATGTCCCGCAGCTCTCCCCTCAGAGTCTCCACACAGCGCTCACTAGCACCCAGCCGCTCCTGCACACCCCGAAGATCTGCCAGAGCCACCTCATTCGCCGCCTGCAGCACATATACATACACTGTGTTAGGACACACACATGCTTTTATCATATATACTGTATAATACATATTATATATACACAGTACTGCCTAAAAGTCAGAGACCACTTTATTCTTTTAATTTCCACTAAAAACAACAGCTTATTCAGTTAAGTTATTCAGTTTTTAGGAGATATTTCAGAAGAGATTAGATATAATATAACCTACTTGAAGTAAAATCAGTGAACAAATGGATTAAAAAAATATATATTAAAAGATGTAGAGAATATGGAACTCCTAACAGCCATGCAAGACCTCCTAGACCACCAAAACTGTCACCATCAGATAAACAGCACTTAAAACTGATTTTTGAATGTTTGGATTGTGACAAGCAGAAAATGTAACCAACTTCTAAGACTGAACTTTGGAGGTGTAGAAAAATGTCCCTGTAGATTGGACTGAAAGCAAGTCTCCTGAAAAAGAATGGAAGCCGTAATGTGGAAATAACAACGACTGAAAAATTAGAAAAAGTTGGTGTAATCATCTGTTAAATATACAGTATTGCACAAATGTTTTAGGCATTTGACAATTAGACTTAAAAAACTATTTATCTAGTGAGTAAGCATTTATTATTGATTAAAAAAACAAAAAAACATTTACACTACAATAAACACAAATAACATTGATGCAGTAAGTAGTGATGTTATGTATGTCACTGTGTACACATCTAACCATCTCCATTCCTGTCCTTGGGGAAGCCCAGTATTATTATTCATAGTTATCACCCAACATCTAGTTTGGCTAAACAACTCTTCTTTCAAAACAGGTGCTGATGATGGAATGTAACAAACCCATGTGACGGTTGGGGGTGTTGAGGAAAAAATTGGAATCAAACTTTGTTATTCAAACCAGCTCACAAGATTTCCACACTTTTTTCCCCTTCTTTTTATTGTATTTGTTTATTTGCAGCCCTGCGATGGACTGCCGACCTGTCCAGGTGTTTCCTGCCTTCCACCCAATGACCGCTGGGATAGGCTCCAGCTCCCCCCGCAACCCAGAAGGATAAGCGGCTTAGAAAATGTGTGTGTGTTGATTTGCATTTATTCTCGTTTTATATACTGTTTGTGCAAGCAAAAACACACGTACTGCCAAGATAACATTTAAATAATGAGCTTAGGTGCCCTAGACTTTTGCACTGTACTGTAGGTTGAAAAAAGAATAACTTTAACTTTAATGGGCATTTTCATTGGAAATTACATAAGTAATTTTTTGTATATGTATTTTGTATATTTTGTACATGTATTTTATTTTATATTACTATTGTGTTAAGAAGACTCTTGAGGTTTTTTCCTCTTATTAGGTTTTCATTCTGTTGAGCTATTTGTTCAGTTTTATGTGGGACGTGGTTAGTCATGAATCTCTTTAAAAAAGTTTTAAGGTCAATGACAGCGCATACATGATGGATTCTACACTAACTGTTCTTAGCATTTGTTATTATCTGGGCTGTGTCAGTAGTTTAAAACAATAGCACATTGAATATGTCTTTAAATGGAACATGGAACAGTTGCAGAATTTGTTTTTTACCCATGTAAAATAAGTACATATATTTTTGGCTGGATTGCCATGTGCACAAATTATTAGTATTATTGTTATTTTCTATTTTCATTCTTATTAACAATATTACAAATTATATTGATGTATTGATTGTTTTGGTTAGTTAAATGCAGATTAAGCATTTTTTCAGGTTGTTAAACTACGCTCAAATTTACACAAGTCCTACCACTTGTGAGTTTGATTGTACAGATATGCCATAACAAACTGAAAAATAACAAAACCTTCACTACCATGCGCTAATTTTAATATCAGATCGGTCACATGCAACTTTGATGAATAAGGGCCACTATAAAGACCACCCTACCAAAACTGTGGCCACACAGTAAAAAAAAATCTATTTAAAATAAATAACAGTCAAAACATTGCCATTTAAAAGGGTTATGTTATGATCCATTTAAACCCAAAACATTAATAGACATATTAATGAACTAAATATAAACAAATTCATCATTTATAGGGTACTTTCTATTTAGAGATGTCTGTCCCAAACCATAAACCCCTAAACATCAACTTATAAAAATAATACTTATATTTTTTGTCATTTTTCCAATTTTTTTTCAAAGATGTTTTTGGTTTCTGTTGAAGTGGAGCTGAAAGACGTAGATTTATCATGAGTTTATTTTTTTGTTTTCATAAGCGAAAACTTATTTTAGCCACACCCCTGCATTCTAGTGAGACTGCCACCCTCTTGGTCACATGGTGAACAGTTGGATCCCATTGTTTTCATACGAATATGTCCCAAAGTCTGAAAATAAGTGCGTAACAATACAAATGGTCACAACTGTTTTAATAAAAAGTATGATTTTTCTGTGTTTAAAGCTGTGTTTGCTAGTCATATACTGGCTAGCATTTTTGTGTTCTGCACAAAAATAGCTAAAACAGTCACTACTGAAACATTTTGAAAGGTTTTGGTGGTGCTACGGTTGTTTCGGCAGTGACAAAATGGAACGTTCAATCATTTATTTTAATAAAAGAAACATAATTAAGGTTCAGGGTTGTGAGACACACCTCTTTCCTGTGTGCAATGTTGAGTTTGTGAGTGAGGGTGGTGATGGTGTCTCGCAGCTGTAGTGCATGTGTGTCTCTCTGGGCCAGTGAGCTCCTCAGACTCTGGAACTCCGTAGACAGACTGTGCAGCTCCTTCTCCGTCTGCTCCAGCTTCAGCTAACACAACACAACAAGCATGTTCATACTCAGTAACAGGTTTACCTTCTTAATCATCTGTGTGACTGTGTTTAATGTATGTATATACACTAAGTGTCTCAGTACATAAAAAACTGCATTTATCATTTGCCTTCTACGTTTGTATTTACTGAACTAGATCAAGCTTTGATAGGGTTGTTGTCTTTTAGGCCATAAATCCTTGCAGACCCTGATGATACGTTCAGCTTTCACTCTTTGCACAGTTTATAAGTTGCTCAAGATAAGGGTGTTTGTTGAGCACATACATGTAAATGTACATGTACATTAAGGGCTTGTGTACACAGTGTATTTCAGATACGACATGTAGGTTTAACTGCTTTATATATTATGTACTCTTAAGGATGTATACATCATATACCTTAAATCTCTGTGCTTGCATTATGTACCTTAAGGCTCTTGCGTTCACTCTCCTCTTCCTTCTTTTGAGCTGCTGCTTTCTTGGCTCGCTCCTTCATCCTGCAGGGGGAGACAACAATCACATTCAGAGATAGCTGGCAAATAAGCAGGAAAAGAAACAGAACCTAGTGTGCACATTAGTTTATTATTAGCCGCTGGCACGCGGTAAAACTTACTGTCTTTAAAAAATGTTTTCAATAAATAAGCCTGTTTTCTTTGTCGCTGTGCAATAACTTGACAGAGGGAAAAAGCTTAGTATTGTAAATGATACTCAAAGCATTAATTTACCTAAAAGGAAAACCTTTGCAGTTTTTTTTGTAACTGAAAAGTAACAAGGAAAAATCAACAATTATCCAGAAAACTGTAAAAGAAACTTTTGAAGGGCAGTGTATCTAAAAGCTCGACAGATGCATAAAACAGTCTGACCTCTCTAGGTCGGTCTCTCTCTCCAGGCCTTTCTGGGTCAGCACCCTGATGTCTTCTTCCAGCTGGCTGATCCTCTCCTCGCCAGCAGCTTTCTTAGCCAGCAGGGCCTGCTTCTCCTCCTGCAGAGCCTCACTCAGAGCCTCCATCTCCTGAGAGAAGAGAGAGACAGCAGGTCAGTCACGATATGACTGGAATATTTTGCTACCATCAGTTTTAAATGAGAGACTTGAGCTGCACAAAATGGACAACATAGCATATCTAATCATATTTATACATCTTGCAACTTGCAGTAAAACCCTCAGGGCCTTCTAAGTCTTCAGAGAAAAACAAATGATTTATGGCAAGTAAACAATAAATTTCTGCAATTTTTAGCTCATCTTTATTTGACAGAATTATCATGCAGGTTGTCCTAAAACTCTGCAAGTACAGCAGTAATTCTCTTATTTCACTGTTAGCCTTTGGTTGGAAACAAAAGACCAGACAGAAAATTGTCTAATAAGACTTTTTTTTTTAGTCCCCAGGTGGAGCTTTGTTTTAGCCAAACCCCTGCATTTTAGTTGCAGGAAGTGAGACTGTATCCCTGTCCCTCATGGCCACAGTTAGATCCCATTTTTAAGTAAATGTGTCCCAAAGTCTGAAAATCAAATACATTTTCTGCAATAAAGTAAAACTTTTTCTGTGTTTAAATTAAAATATAATGACTTTATATGTGTACAACTGTTCAAAGCTGTGTTTGCTAGTCAACCTAGTGTTTTTTTTAGTTCTGCGCTAAAACTTTTGGTTAGGTTACAGCAGTGTTATAACTGTTTTGGTAGTGAGAAAATGGAATGTTTCAATCATTTATTTTAATAAAATAAACATAATTAAGGTTTAGTGTCTCTCAAAGCAAAAGTCCAACGTCCAAGTCAGTTAAAAGTCCAACATGTGTTTTCAACTCAGGTCAGTAGAAAGATCCATAAAGCTTAAAGACTGGCCAACCTTAGTTTTACCGAAATAATTTACCGTTCCTCTGTATCACGAATCAAACTTGGTACCTCTAACATGTTTCGGCATACTCACCTTACACAATGACATTTTTCTGTGATTTATTATACGGCATTTTACAGCCCATTCATAAATTATTCAATTCACTCATTGGCTGATCCTGTCTTCAGTTCCTCTCTTTTTTCTGCTGCTATAACTGCAATCTGCCAGAATGATTGCATATCATATGAACATTACTGAGATCATTATTAAGTAAATGACGTGTCATTTCACTGTTCTGCACGTTTTTCTATAATCAACTTCATTAACTTTGTTGACGAATCACTGCAGGCCTAGAATTTGGTACCTCCTGCTTCTTTTTCATCTCCTCCACTTGTTCTCTGGTCTGCCTGAGCTCCTCCTGCAGTTCGGAGATTTCCCGCTCCAGCTCCCTTTGCTTCTTCTCCCAGGCATCTCTGGCCCTGTCCGCACGCTCCCGCTCCCGTTCCCGGCTTCTCTCAGCCGCCTCGAGAGTCTGTAACAGCTCAGCCCTCTCCTTCAGACACTCCTGCAGCCGACCCTGAGCCACACAGAGGGGGAGAGAGAGGAGAAATTACGATCACATTCACACAGCAGTCAATGTTTTTTTACTCACGTCCAAAACCTCCAGCACAGTTTGGATGCATCCAAATACATATCTGAATTTTAGAATCTTAAAAGGGAATTCTATTGATTTTTCAAAATTTCTGCAAACTTAACTGGTTAACATATAAACAAAGTCATTCAGGGTGGTTTGGTGTGAAATGATTTGTGATAGATAAACTAGGAACCAGACGTCTACATCAGAAACGTACTACATTAAATGATTATGAATACGTTGCCTGATGTCTGAAACACTGTTACAGGGTATATACATCTGTAAGGCAAAACAGTCCTCAAAAACTTTTTTTTCTTCCACATATCTATCCAAACTTTTATGCAGAAATTTAGAAAAATCTGTGGAATTCCCTTTAAAGACAAGCTGATGATCTAAAAGCTTATGCTTAAATGCCTGAAAGTTGTTTGTAAAGCCCTGTTCAATCTGACCTAGTTTTACTGTAATACTGTAATTTGTCATGCTGTAGCTTTACTGTAAAACTGTTGTGCTGAATAAATAACAAGAATAAATGAAGCTTGACGCAGCTCAATTCAGTTCCTCAAGTTCAGAGAAGGGTTCCTGTAACCTAAAGTATTTTTGGTAAAGGGCTAACTAGAAGGAGAAAGAAAATACACAGAGCAGAGCGATTTCTGTCTTTGTGGTCAGCATCTGTTTAAGGAGCTCCCTTTACTAGCCCACCTCTATCAGGTATGAACTGGAACTTAGTTTTTGTGGTTTGTTTGTTCCCATTTCATTTTAATTATATTGACCAGTAAAATCCCTTACAAATAACCTCCTCTGGTACAACTAATCCAGCACAAATAAAGCCTAAAGGGGAAGTCCACTGATTTTTCAAAATTTCTACGTGGTTCAGCTGAGATGTAAATAAAGTCATTCAGAGTGCTTTAATGGCTTGGATGTTTTTAGAACGGTGGTGAAAGGGACACGGGGTCAAAATATCTAATACAGCCATTTTTTTACTATCCAAACAACCAGTGAACCTACATGCATCTTATTTGGTATATGCAATTATAAGAATGGTAAATAGAGGTAAATTGGAAAAAATATGTTTTCTTTTTTTTCGCCTTGTATGTACCTCTTCACTATGCATGTATTTTAAAACATACTTTCGGCCAAAGGCTTATTGCAAAACAACTCAAAAACAATGTCTCAGGCTTTAGGCAAAATATTAGTCATTTTGTGTAGTCATTTCCTGCAAAGTGGCTTTCAGAGGTACTAAACACTGAAAAAGTGTCTCTATAACACAGTAGTAGGTGGTATGGCAAAAAATATATACAAATGGTGTAATTAAATTTTTTGGGCCGTTTCAGTACAATTATAACCATAAAACCATTTTAGATGCTTAAGTAGACCTCTTTTTGTAGGTTAATTGTGGCTTATTGTCCTGGGGTGCCCCTTCACTTTTTAATAAGAAACAAGTAGAGTAAATCTGAATTTTTTTACTATGCAAAATAGTAAAAACAAAACTAAACAATATATAGAAAAACCAACGTCTGCTTTCTAACACCAGCCTCACGGGCCAGCAAAAACAGTGCTAAGCGTTAATGTCTACATTCTGGTGCTGCTGTTTTTCAAATTGTTTTGAGCTGTGCATGAAAGACGCATCAACTGCGATTTCTCCCAAATGAAGGACGCATTTCTTGGCCGCCTTCGAAAGATTCTATAAAACGGGACAGCCCTCAGTGACGTAACGGCTGAGAAACGCAACCTTCTTTCGCTGCATCCAGCTTCAAGACATAGCTATTTTTTAAACATCGTCAATAGCATCCTAGAAGGCTCCATAAGAAGCTGTTTGACATGATGCAAAGAACAAGCAAAGCTGCATTAACATCTTGATTTAATCTTTTGGGTCACTGTATAATTACATATGTTTCATAGTTTTTATTTCTCAACTATTACTGTAAAATATGAAATAAAGTAAACCCTTCTTATGAGTAGGTGTGACTTGTGGTTTAATTTAATGAATGAATGAACTGTGATGTTTTTGGACCATGCTTGTATGTTTGTCTTTGCAGCAGATTATCTCAAGCCAGGAACTAAATGCACTGATTTGATGATGTTCAATAAATTAACATGGGAAAAAGATTATTAACCTGGGAAAACACAATCATAGCCTGTTATCTGAGCACAGCTGTGGGAAAGGAGAAATGAATAAACCTATTAATGGTAATCACTGGTGTTGGTATTGGGAAAGTCATGCCTCGTCTTCTACTACTAATGAACACTTCGGGCTTAAAGAAACCAAGGCGCCGCTGTCAAGTACATCAAAATCTGTGGAGCTGCAGGGTGCTGAGGCACAGAAGCACTGATGTCTCTGTGGTCTGCTTGAAAGGTCAATGCAGGCCAATTTGCAACTAACCAGCTTCATGTGATATTGATGATGACCACCACAATTGTGTAGAACTGTATGCAATTATAAAACCGGGATGCTTCACAATGAAGGCCCTATTTTCCTAAGGCGGCACGTAACCGCCTACGTCAAGCGCTGCTACATGAGGGCATATCCAAAAGGCACGGGCTATTCTTTGCACAGCCATGTTCATCCACTCTGTGTGTAAACCGTTAGTTGACGTGGAAAGGAGTATGCAGTGAGAATCTTCTCAGCCAATCACATTCCTTGTCTTGTAGATTTAAACAGCTGTGCTCAGTGCAAAATGGATCACTCGAGGCAGCGCCAAGAACACTTCAAAGCAGAGGAGATTGAGGTGCTTGCTGGCTAGGTGCAACCCCAACATGAGCAAATATTGGCCACGTTCTCCTTACAGTAATATAATCTACCGCACCGTAAAACTACAACGAATTTAGTGGAGACAGGCCAGAAATGAGCAGTCAAAAGTGTGTAATGCAATAAAAGACACTAGAAGGAGAAAATTGGTGTCTTACGCAGCACCGAAAAAGCCCATGTCCATGTGGCTAAGCCTCACCATTTCTCCTGCTGGGGAATCCCCAGCATTATCTTAAGGGCCATTTCTTTACCTTATTAGCTTAGAGGAAAGTGTATCAGATGAGCTTTCGGACAGGCGAAGGACAGAGTGAACACAAGTGTCGATTTCTGCAACAGAACTTGCCAAGAAGTCACTGCGATCTGACGAATTTCCCCTTTTGAACTTAATAAGATGGTGGACAAAGCTGTTTGTAAGCAATAAATGACTTTAATACTTAATATTTCCAAATTAATAACCGTCAATTTGTTATGTTTAGATTGTTTTAGGTAGCAAACTACTCCATCTGTTACATTACTCTGCTGGCTTGCTAGTTAGCAAGATAAAGGCTACAATGTTAACAACAACCAAAGACAACAGCGATACACCACAGTCACAATTTTAAACCAAAGCTTATAGGCAGACAAATTAGTCACATATAAAATTTGTGTAAGCACAAAAAAAATAAAAAATAAAATAAATAAATAAATAAATAAAAAAATTAAGTTTTGCATTACAAAGTTTCCACGGCTGTAAAGATCACTGAAGCTAACCCAACCGAGGCAAAGTGTGCTCCTCACAATCCCCTCCTCTCCTTGTGCTGCAAGCATCCACTTGTGTTGAGCTATGTCAGTGGTTCCCAACCCTGGTTCTGGAAATGCCCTGCTCTGCAAAATTCAGTGTTTTCTCACTCCCAACACAGCTGGACTGGATTGCACTGGTTTTGGGCAAGTTTAAACTTAGGTTTGTGCATAAACTCTTTAGTTAAAGTCGAAGGAGACAGTGGATAAAATCTTAAAAATATTTGTATGATACTAAACTTGAGCCTTATATTAATCATCCAGCAAAGCTTGAATAAAAAATGAGATATAAATATGATAAAACACAGCTTGTATTGTGCTCCAGAAGAACAGGATGGTGATGCTGGGCTACTGTGCTAAAATGTCTGCATTTTACTGCATTTGTTATCCTACACAATTAGATGTAACATTTCTCTGTAAAGCTAATCCAGGCAAATCTACTCCCAATATCTATATTTCAAAAATGTTTAGGTTTCTTATCAGCAGATAGGTGCATGAAAAAGACTAGATATCAACTTTAGCCCTCAGAGTCTAATAACCATGACGAAACCATAGAATTGTGTCTCCCTCGATCGGCAACTGTGACAGGTAGCATAACAAGCTTAATAACATTTACTAGCATGATGGTGTTCCATTTATTTATGGTGCAAGATTGTGTATGCAGATATAAAATGATCAAAAGACAAAATGCTTCATTTCTGAGCCCTGCAGATCACAATACATCAATAAGCTAATTGGTTGCTAACAAGTTAGCTTACCAGTCACAACCAGCTAAGGCGTGCCAAAGGCAATTTTCAAAGTTATCCTGCTGATATAGCGAACACTGCTGAACTGTATTGTGTGATCCACGTTGTGTAAGTTTGCAGGGGTGTCAATTGCAATCTTTACGTCTCACTTATGTTCTGTTTGGTATTTATGTCTAACGGCTGTGCATGTGTCATTAATTGCTTGGTATCAGACAGGATTGATTATCATCTTTGACTGAGTATTTTAGGATTTCCTAACAATGAGATAATACACCATCAAGCATAACATTATGACCACCTCCTTGTTTCTACGCTCATTGTCCATTTTATCAGCTCCACTTACTATATAGGTGCATTTTGTAGTTCTACAATTACAGACTGTAGTCCATCTGCTTCTCTGCATACTTTGTTAGCCCCCTTTTACCCTATTCTTCAGTGGTCAGGACCCCCATGGACCCTCACAGAGCAGGTACTATTTGGGTGGTGGATCATTCTCAGCACTGCAGTAACACTGATGTGGTATGTTGTAATAAACAATACTCTCAAAAAAAGAGGGTTCTTCAAGGGAAGGGTTGTTTAGTAAAGAAAATGGCTCTATATAGAACCATGAACACTCAAAGAACCCTTTGTATAGGCTCCCGAGTGGCGCAACCATCTAAGCGTTGGCCCTATCATCAGGAGATCGTGAGTTTGATCCCTGGTGATGCTACAGCCATCCGTGGCCGGGAGTCCTAGAGAGCATAATTGGCCTCGCTCTCTCTGGGTGGGTAGGATGGCCCCTCCTTCTCCCCCCATCACTCAGCGCGATGCTAGTCAGCGCAGGCGTCTGTTAGCTGACGTAACAGATCTGGCGGTTGGCGCTTTCCTCCGAGCGCGTTCGGCTGTCCAGTGACGTTGCGTGAGTGGCAGTTCGAAAAGAAGCAGTGGCTGGCTTCACAGGTCTCGGAGGAAGCCTGTGTTAGCCTTCACCCTCCTGGTGTTGACAGTATTGTGTGATTGGGGGAGTCCTAACTAGCGGGTGGAATTGGAGACGACTAAATTGGGGAGAAAATCGGGTAAAATTCAAAAGGAACCTTTGCATGATTAAAGGGTTATTTGTACCATGAAATGGTTCTTCAGATTCATGGAGAATGGAGAAGGGTATAGCTCTCAGCGCTGAACTATCAGCCTTCCACTCTCAGCTCCGGATATGATGTCACATACATACAGGCTCTGCTATTACTGCATAATGTTTAAGAAACCCTCAGATATCAATCTGAAGAACCATTTCACCAAGAACTGTTTAAGCATGAAATGGTTATATATAGAGATCACAGTTCTAAATAGAACCATTTCCTTTACTAACGGAACCCTTGAAGTACCTTCATCCATCCTTTTTAAGAGTGTATGGGTTCAAAACATCAGTAGAATAGGCCAAAACTGATATAGTAGCAAGCTAATAATACCCATTTCTCATCCTCAGTATTCTCTTTATCTGTCACAAAAACCACTTGAACACTCACGCTAGGTTAACAAGATCCTCCTCATACAAAACTCTCACCTCACTTGCGCTTGAAAGCAGCCTTACCATGTACTGTACACACTTTGGTGCTAAAAAACAAAAATGTCACATTAAAGTTCTCTCAGCAGGGCAGGAAAGTGTGACTGTAATTCTGAAATGAAACACTAGAGGCGTACTTGTAAGGAGCGTTAAGGAGTGTGAGTCGGAAAGTGAGGGTCTGAAAGTGTGGTACTGCAGGTCTGCAGTTGGATACTACTGGGAGAACTTGCTGTAGATGGTTCTATACAGAACATTTTTCAAAAAGGGTTCTATATAGCACCAAAAAGCTTCCCACTATTGTTACAAGCCAAAGAACCCTTTTTTGGTACTACATAGAACAATTTTTGCTAAGAGTGTATCATTCCAAACTTTGTTAGGATTTGTTCTGTTATAGAATTTTTCACAAACCTGCCAGATCCTAACCTGGAATGTCTAACCTGGGAAGTTTATGTATTTTGGCCCAAAATCCTCAAGAGTGCTTATCACTTACATGGAGCTCTTATTTTAGTCAAATGCACTAAAGAAAATGTCACTATTATCAGCTGCCTCTTAAAACCCATCAATATCTTCACTACTGCATACCAGCAGTAAGCTGACTGGCTAACTAATCTTAGCTAAACGGGATCTGTGTCCTTTTTTCAATTTTCATTGCGGCTATTTATTACATTTAAAATCTGTTGCGTATGTTTTATTGCAAGTGCAGGTCACCTAGATACTGTAATGTACAACTCTTAACAAAAGTTCTTTAAAGGTTCTTTAGCTAATAAAATGCTTCCATATAGAACCAAAAACACTGTTTTGCATCTGCAGAACATGTTTGCATCATGTTCTGCAGATGGTTCTATATAGAACCTTATAGAAAAAGGTTTCTATTTAGCACCCAAAAGGGTACTTCTACAGTTATGACATCAAGCTTGTAACAATAGAAGAACCCTTTTGGGCGCTAGGTAGAACCCTTTTCAAAAAGGTTCTATATAGAACCACTTGGAGCACATTCTCCATCAATCTGAAGACCATTTTGAATTAGAATTCAGAACCATTAGCCAATTGTGTTTTGCACACAGAGGAATTAGACCTCCGCATTTAACCCATCCGTGCAGTGTAACACCCACATACATGCACACTAGTGAACACACACACTAGGGGGCAGTGAGAACACTTGCCCGGACTGGTGGGCAGCCCTATCCACGGCACCCAGGGAGCAGTTGGGCGTTAGATGCCTTGCTCAAGGACACTTCAGTCACGTACTGTCGGCTGAGGGGATCGAACCGGCGACCTTCCGGCAAGGCTGGTTCCCTTACCTCCAGCCCATGACTGCCCCATGAAGGCACCATGCCTAGAGATAACATGTACGAAGAGAAAAGCAAGAGAAAAGCAACTATGGCTACAACAAAAACCTGACTGAAATTTCTCAAATAACAATCAGGTTTTGGTTCTAACCATAGTACCGAGACAGCTCTGGTTCGTGTTGTCAACGACCTTAGGCTCAGCACTGATACACAAAATCCTTCTGTTTTGGTTTTATTGGATCTTAGTGCAGCTTTTGATAATGTTGATCACAAGGTTCTAATCTGCTGTCTCGAATATGGAGTAGCCTCTCAGGCACTGTTCAGAATAGTTTAAATCATATTTAGTGAACAGACAATTTTTGGTTTCACTGTGAAAGCATTTATGAAAAAATTTCACATTTCTTTAGTGAACAGACAGTTCTTGGTTTTGCTGGGAAATCACACACACACCCATACAGATGATCTAAACCGCTTATCTTCCTGGGTCGCGGGGGATGCTGAAGCTTATTCCAACAGTTATTGAGTGGAAGGCAAACACACTGCCTGGAAATCATTCATCAAAAGAAATTCACATTTCTTGTGGAGTCCCATGAGGTTCCGTTTTAGGGCCTTTGTTTTTCTCTTTGTACATGTTGCCTCTGTTCCTATGTCATTAGGAAACATGTCATCAATTTTTATAGCTATCATGATAACACAGAATTATGCATTTCCATTCTTTCTGATAATCAGGACTCTGTTGACATGCTTACCAGCGTGTCACAAAAATCAGCAGATGTCACAAAAATCAAGAAAAAGCTGAAATACTGATCCTTGGTACTAAAATTCAGAGAATGCTGCTTTGGGAGAAGCTCAGTTGTTTTGCTTTGTTTACCAAACCTGAGGTACGAAACCTGGGTGTGATCTAAGACTCTGAGCTCTGCACGTAAACACAGTAACTAAATCATTTGAGAACTATTGCTATAGTTCGTCCTTTTCTATCTGAGAGTGAGGCAGAAAAACTTGTTCATGCATTTGTTACAAGCAGAGTTGATCACTGTAATGCTCATTTTATTGGACTTCCTAAGAAAGCAATACATCCTCTACAACTCATACTAAATGCAGCAGCATGGATGCTAATAATAACAAAACAGAGAGATCAGATCAACCCCTTTTTGAAAGAACTGCACTGGCTACCTGTATCATTTAGGATAGATTTTAGAATAGATTTTAAAGTTCTGCTATTAGTTTTTGAAGCTCTGAATGACCTTAAAGGTTCCAACATGTCATCTTAGATCTGAAATACTGGCGTTCCACAAATACATTCTGTAAAACAAACCTGCAGAGGCCTCCTTCATTTATTATGCTTCTAAACTGAGGAACTTCATTCCACCTTTTATTAGACAGTCAAGATCAATGCTCACTTTTAAGAAATATCTGGAAACGTACCTATTTAATTTAGCGTTTAATTAAAACTCTACCTCTCTTTTGTATCTTTTCAATTTGATCTGTCTGTCTTATGTGACTAATTGAATGCTCAGAAGTTCTTCTATTACTTTATCACCCAACTGATAAAACACACTGAGATGCCACCACTATGAAAAGTAAATGAAAATATAAAGATTATAATGATTATCATGTAAGTGTAAACAGCATGATGTTACTTTGAACACAAAGTAATAATAATGTAAATAGCATCTGTCAACATTTTCTAATTGGTGTAATTTACCTGTTATTTTGCCCCTAATAAAGTAATCTGAAGCCAAAAATAGACATACTTAAACAGTAACAAACTGTTAAGCCTTTCAGAAGTTCTAAACTTTGTGAAAAACAGACAAATAAACAAGACTTTTATCTTCAACAATCTTCTAATAATGAAATGAAGAGTTTAAAGCAAACCTTGTGCCTTACACAGTACATATAAAGATTTCCTTTATAAGTCCTTTTACTTGTACTCAAGTATCACTACAGTAACTGTGCTCGTAATTAAATAGGGATTTTCAGTATTCAAACCCACCCAATTCAACTCATAAAGGCTTTGATATGCAGCTGTTGAGTTCTATCTGGGGCAACTCTAAACTCTGCCACACTGTGGCATCCAAGCACAACGTTTGAACAGTGGTTCAGGTTCAGACCCTCCCTATCTCTGAGAGACTGGAGAGTGTGCGCTGCCCTCACCTGCAGCAGCTCGGCTCTGGGGATGACCAGCAGCATGTCCTCTCCCTCCTCATTGCCCGGCTCACCCTGCTCCAGCGTGACCAGCTCCTCCAGCGGCTTGGGCGCAGAGAAGGTGAAAGCAGGACTGCGAGAACACACCTCACCCTTCCCATCCACATACACAAACTGATACTGCTCCGCACTGGGTCCCGGCAGGTAACAGGCTGTGGGGATAGAAGAAAGGAAGGAAGGAAGTTAGGAAGGAAGGAAGGTAAAAAAGAAAGAAAGCAAAAAAGAAAGATATAAAGATCATAATATGATTACATTTATATGTATACTGACCAGACACTTTCTTGTTTCTACGCTCATTGTCCATTTTATCAGCTCCACTTACTATATAGGTGCACTTTGTAGTTCTACAATTACAGACTGTAGTCCATCTGTTTCTCTGCATACTTTGTTAGCCCCCTTTTACACTGTTCTTCAATTGTCAGGACCCCCACAGGACCACCACAGAGCAGGTATTATTTGGGTGGTGGATCATTCTCAGCACTGCAGCGACACTGATGTGGTGGCGTTGTGTTAGTGTGTGTTGCGCTGGTCTGAGTGGATCAGACACAGCAGTGCTGCTGGAGTTTTTAAACACCTCAATGTCACTGCTGGACTGAGAATAATATCCAGCCAACAGCGTCCTGTGGGCAGCATCCTGTGACCACTGATGCAGGACTAGAGAATTGCCAACACAAACTGTGATATAACATGAGCTACTGTTTCTGACTTTACATTTACAAGGTGGACCAATAAGGTAGGTGTGTCTAATAGAGTGGACAGTGAGTGGACACAGTGTTTAAAAACTCCAGCAAGACTTCTGTATCTGGTCCACTTGTACCAGCGCAACACACGATAACACACCACCACCACGTCAGTGCCACTGCAGTGCTAAGAATGATCCACCACCCAAACAATACCTGCTCTGTGGTGGTCCTGTGGGGGTCCTGACCATTAAATAACAGACTGAAAGGAGGTGAACAGAGTATGCAAAGGAACAGATGGACTATAGTCTGTAATTGTAGAACTACAAAGTGCTCCTATATAAGATAATGGACCTCATGGACCTTGACACCATACGTTTTAAAAGAAAAACAGACTGCCAGGTATGTAAAGAGACCACTGGAGTTTTTAAAGAAAACATTTTCCTGGCAGTGCGAGAAAACGCAAAGCTAATGAGTTGCCAGCATGCTGTTTTGTCTTTCTGGCCCTCAGCCAGGCACACACATTACACTTTGGCAGCCTAGAAGTTCAGCGCGTCTGATCTAGAAGCATTGCGCTTTATATACTCACAAATAATATGCTTTGATTTAGTGTCCTTCCATTATTAGCTTTGCATTCATTAAATGTACAAACATATTGGCATGCTAGCACTCCCTCCTGAGCCTTTTGTATTCATAGCCTTAGTTAATGTGCTAGAATTATTAGATTTGCGTTAATTAAATATCCACACTTATCGGCATACTAGCACTCCCTTGCTAACGCTCCATCATCTTGACTGGTGTAGAGATTTCACATTTCTTGCACGCGGCCAATCATCTGCTGCTGATGAGCTCATCGATGACCTCATGGAGCTCTGTCAGTGACTGAAGCAGTTTTGCAGCGTCCTCCAAAGCATTCTCTCACTCAGCTCTTTGTGCCATTGTCTCCCATCTTCATTACTCAAACCCCCTTTTCAACAAAGCCTTTCTGGACTGAGCAAGTTAAGATCCTTAGAGATATGCTGACACTCACTCACAGAGACGTACAAATACACACAGCTTACAATCTTTTAAAACCACACCGTATCTGATCAGGACTCCTCGCTGCAGTCTAATCTATTTCTCTGACTGCAGCTCAGGTTCTGCTACAGGACACTTCATTCAGTAGGATGAGATCAATGACAGGTTGATGAAGGGCACTGATACCATCACCTTTAAAGTAACAATCTGGTTTAAAAAAAAAAAAAAACACTCAAAATGCAGTTGATCAGGCAACAAATGTTAGACGAGCACTTCTTTAGCAGTGCTGGTTCTACCTAATAAGTGACATAAGCAGCTGCTTTGGGATCCACAGCCACCAGGGCGCCCCCTGAGATTACTGTCAAGTAATCTCAAATAGATTTTCCTACGTGGTTCTGGACACTGTAACACATGGTTATGCAAAAAATTTACAAAAGTACAAAACTAGCTAAAAACAGTAGAAAATGCCACATTGACGCCTGACTTTTGCTTATATTTTTTGTCCGTTTGTATAGACAACAGTATGCTAACAGTATCGGAATGCACACAAACAAGTCTCAAGTTTCAGATTACTGAACAACTGAACCTGGTTTTAGGTATTTGTGTTTTGATATCAGTATAGTGTTTACACCGTTCTAGCAGGCGGCGTCCAGCGTAAAGCTAAAAAAGCAAAGATGCCAAACATATCTTGGCTGATCTATTATGTTTAGGGGATATTTGCGTAAATGTGATTTCTCATCAAACTATTGTTTTAACAAGCAGTTTAGGTGCCATTTACAAGCAAAAGCTGAGAAACCTTGGAAGTGGACGCAGCAGTTCACATTGGTCCCTTCTTCGTAGTTGGACGGAGCCAGAGCCCACACAAAAGTATGGTAGTCCCTCACGGTTGACCACCCAACCTGGAGAAACATAAACAAAATATGGTCATTGATAAGTTATATTAAGGTATACAATAAGAGTATAATGGAATGAGCAGTGTGATGCCCACCTTAAACAGGCCGATCCAATCATTGCTGGCCCAGCTGTGCTGAGAGCTGATGCTGTAGTGGCATTCCACTCGGCTCTGAGGGAAGTAGCTACTACCCACGTTCCGAAACTCCACCTTCCATGCCTTCTCCATGGCCAGGAAATTCTGTGTGCAATACCTGCAATGAAAGAACATCCTTTTCATTAATTTTAGTCTTTATTTATTTTGTCAAATTGAACATGAAGTAATAAAAACAGCAAAATATACAAAGTACAGCTTTCACTGTGTTATATTATATACTAAGTGCTGTTCGTTTTACATTTAGAAGTGTACCAATATGAGAAATGTGGGCCGAAGATAATATATCCTGTTATTTTTCAGATGTCAATGCTGATAAAATTTAGAAATTGGGACTACCTGGATTAGCATTACGGGAAAAAACATCATTAACTTTTGTAGAGTTACAAATGCAGCAAAATGAATGAAATGTGCGCAATATGCCATTAAATATCAATTTGAAATATCAGTCAAATCTAAGCATCTGTCCGATACTGATAATTTCTTTAAGTAAACATTTTCCAACAGTGATCTGACTTCTTATCATTGTACATCCCTAGTTACAATGATCAAAATCCATGGTTGTACAATTTACAGTGCTTATATTATACTTTATACGTTATGCATGAACACACACATTTACCATTGCACTTAAGTAGGACCAGTGGCTTTATTCTTTTATTTATTAATCAATCTATTTTGTTTATCTTATAATACTTTGTGAAACTTTTTTTAAAAGGTGCTATATAAGTACTTATTATTATAATAATAATAATAATAATAATAATAATAATAATAATAAAGCAGATTACAGCAAGAGGCATGCATAAAAATATTAAGCATATAATAGTTAACTACACATGTTTAGTCTCCATTTGGTAGTCAAAGTGTTTCTAACGAAGTGAAAGTTGATATTAGGAAACCGAAGAGGGAGAGAGACAAACACAATCACGAGAGAACATGCCTGAGGGCAATGCTGAGGACAAACCTGTCGTGCAGACAGCTCAGCAATCAAAAGAGCATCAACCCACAAATCATGGCAAAACCATAAAACCATAAATCAAAGAGCATCAAACCACAAATCAACAAAGCACTGGAGACGTGCTGCATGACTCTTCTGAGAACTGGTGCGGGCTCATATACAGTAGATCAGGCGTGACAGGTGGCACACTGTGAGTGCCTAAATCACAGGAGCCATATTTAGAGGTTTGTTTTTCTACAGAGTCCTCCAGAAACTACTGCGTCTTTCCAACAGAGAACATCAGAAACTGACCAGTAACCAGTGTAGAGTGCAGATTCTAAACATTTAATCGATTTCATATTTGTCTTTGTAAGCAAAAGATGAGCTGTTCTATTGTGATTTAAAATAGAAAAAATATAGGTTTCTCCACAGTCTTGCTTGGTGGAAAGAAAACATTTTAATTAATTATTTATTTATTTGGTCATTTTTAGTCATCAGAACAATGGAAAAAGTCAGTGTGAACTAAAACCTGTTCAGAGGGAATAAAAATCAGATGTAAAGATAATCCATTACATAACTATGCATACAAATAACATCAATAATTGTGTAAATTGAATACATAGCACAGCAACAGAAATAACTCTATTCCATGGGTTCTACAGGTTGATTTATAAATTAATTAGCCTATAAAAACTGTGGGATTTGAATAACCACAGATGTCAATCATTAAGATTACTATATATTATACTCTGTTCTCCTTCCTGATGTCTTTTTGAGTTGTGGCTCAACTATTGGGCATCCAAGTACAATACAAAGGCGCTCTGCTCACACCGAAAGGCAACAGGTGCCAAACTGGAAGGAACACAATACAACATGCTTTAATTAGCAATAGGAAACGGAACGTATTGTGTTACTAACACAGAGAACTGTGCCTTGCATTTAAAGGGGAGCTCCACCGATTTTCTAAAATTCCACATAATTAAATGGTTCAGATGTAAACAGAATCATTCAGAGTGGTCTGGTGTGAAATGCACTGAAACGTGCTGAGTCAGAATTGTTCACAGTGCTGGTGATAGGAACCAGACCCCCACCTCTAAAAGCTCCCCCACAGAAAGTTACTACATGAAATGGTTAGATATACGCCGCCTGATGTCTGACACATTGTTTTAAAATAGTTTTGTGACAAAGTTTTGGCTTAAAATGTATATGAATCCATTTAGTTTAATCCATTCATGGTAGGGGGTACATGCAGTTGTCCCCAAAGAAAACAAATGATTTTTTTTACCAATATTAACACCACATATAAAAGACACATGTATGTCCACTGGTGGTGTTGGATTGTACACAAAATGGCTGTATTGGTGTTGTAGACATTGTGGACATTGGGACCCCTGGTTCCTATCGCCACTGTAAAGAAGTCTAAGTCTGTACGTTTCTTACCAACAAACCATTCCATGTCAAACCACTCTGAATGACTTTGTTTACATCTTAAAGAGTGAATTATTCATACATTTTTAAACAAATGGTGGAATTCCCCTTTAATGAGCTACAAGGCCTACAAAGCTGGAAAACTCAGGACTTTGCCTGTGTTAGCGACTCAAAAATGCAAGCAGCCACAAAATACCATTTCATAAGCCTCTCCAGACATTATTAAGCTGATTTTAAATCAAAATAACGCCACAAGAACAATATGAAGACCAGGGGGTGTTTCATAATGCTCGATTTATTAAGCTGCCTAAGGCGTCCAATACAAATGTCCCTTTCTTCTTCTCATTTTATAAGACTGGACTTTCGGCCTGACTGGGCATCTGTTGAACAACTGCCTTGCCAAATAACATGAGTCCTCAGTAGTGCGTCTTATCAGTGAGGCTTCATAAACTTCGCTCTTTACACAGCTGCCAGTTTGCATTGGCAAATTTTGCAAACGCAATGCGAGGCCCGAAGGCAGAACACTGGACCTCAAAGTGCACGCAGAGCGACCGGCCGCTGGTTTAAACACACAGATCCGACGTCGTGCGAAGAGAATAAGTTACCGCTCTTGAAATAATTCGTAAAGTTATAGCTGTATAGTTTTAATGGGTAGGCCATCCATCCGGGTAATCCATCTGTCTGTCGACATCGCTTTTGTCTGTGCACGCAAACGTGCATCCTGACTTACTGCAGGCAGCTACGCAGCTGTTTAACATCAAATAACTCACCTGATGTACTTTTAGCTGGTCCAGGCTATTTTCTTTCCAACTACGAGCGGTTAACAACGATCAAATTCATCCAAAGGTCAAACGTCTCGTTATTTGATTAAAATCCCTACTCGTTGGTAGCAATGCCACAAGGCTATAACAACAATAACAAAAACAGAAGCATGGCAGTTTGGACGGCTCCGCTGAATTGTGGGAAGTGTTGTGCCTCACGCGATGTCCGACTACACAAAACAGCTTTAAAAAAACTACAATCTCCATATGCGAGGAAGAAAAGCGCCGTTCAGTCAGCAACGCGGAACGGAATGTTGCAGCGGATGCCACTGTGATTGGTGGATATTTCACAAAGGCTTCAGAGGGCTTTCTCTTATTGGTGGAGCCTTTGTTTCCATCAATTTCTGACCAATTGAAAGCGTCTACGTCACATGTGAGAGCCTTAAAAAGCACAGCAGGTCAACATGTGGCGGTTGCGAAATGAGTTAGCCAGATAAGTTAATACAACCCTGCTTTATAAGTAAAGAGGCCAAAGAGGCCGTCCTTGCTAATTCTCAGCTCTGATGAGAAATTCAGGGGGTGTTTTCCTAAAGGAGGATTTCCCGGTTAGCTCGCCATAGCTTAATCCAAAAGTTTTGTGTTTATCCAGTCTGTGTATGTCACCTTTGCTCCTGTTGGACGGAGTAGACAAACGCCAGTGTTCAGTGATGAGGCTTACCACGGTATTCAACATTCACGGTATTGTTACCGTGAACACTTCAAAATAACTGTCACTGTATTTTTGTCAAAGAAGCAAATTTTTTTCTAGATACTCAAAGTAGCACTGTTTTCAGAAGGTCCCACTTTGTGAAACCAAGTTTTATTTTACTTTATTTTTTTTTATAACTGATCAGAAACTGGCTTACAAACTAACAAATGATCATATATTTGTCTTTGTAGGCAAAAGATGAGTTGTTCTAATACAATTTAAATTTGAAATTTCCAGTCTTGTTTTGTGGGGGAAAAAATCATCATTTTTATATATATATATATATATATATAGAGAGAGAGAGAGAGAGAGAAAGTGCAAACTGGAACTTGTTGATAGGAAAAGAAAATTCAATATAAATGTAATTCATTACATAACTATGTGTTGAGTTAAAATTAAGTAATTACTTATAAGAAATTATCTTATAAGAAATAATGTAAATTGAATGTATAGCATAGCAGCAAAAATAACACTTTCTATTTTAGAGTTCTACAGCTGTTTTATTGTGGTATTGGTCTGAGTGGCTTCCTAGCTCCCAGTAAATGTAGCAGTGCTCTCCTTTTATAATCAGTTCCAATCTAGAGAGTCCACTATCCAGCTGAATAAAATAAAAATTAGGGAAAAATCAAATCGTTACAATATCATAAACTGTGATAATAGGTTAGGTAATTATGGATAATAAATTTTTGTATGGGAGCACAGGCCTTGTCCTGAATCTTAGCTTATTTTATCTGACAGTTTGTAAAATAACCCCCAGGCTGGTCAAATTCAAACTTTCAGCATCATTTACCAACAGTAATTGACTCTGGTCGTTTCATTTTTCCACAGGTAAGATCATGATGCATTCTCAATTATGTTGTTTATATTCAGTGAAGCACTGTGTTGTAAACACCATCCTAAACTCTAAATGCTGACTCCTGGGAAACCTGAAACCGTTATGCATGCTAGCGAAGCAGCACAGCAGATGGAGGTTTACATTGCATTCATTCCTCCCACTGTTTGTTTCCCCCAATTAGGTTGAGTTAAAATTAGACTAGTTTTTCCCCTTTACCCCTCATGGGAATGTGTCACATCCTGAAAGTGTTGTGCCATAGAACTGTTGGACTAGCAGCACAGCACTTTAAATTCATGACATAAGTCTATTTTAAACACCAGGTGGCAGTGCACTTTAACTAAACCTTCACCATCAAGGAAAGGTCTTTTATGAATGCGGAGGTGGGGGATGTGATGATCTTTGGCCTGCTGATTGTGATTTCTAATATTCATCTTTATTACAAAGATCTGGTGGTGAACAGGCATACTTGCTCATTAACTGTGGGGGGTCATGTATTCAAATAAACTGATTTATAGGTAGAGCTCCATTGTTTGCCATTGTATTTTCTTTAATTGAGCTGTACCATTTTGGTTTCCTTTAATCAGATATATTACACATGTTTTTTTTATATTTCAAAAGTGTATTGAACCTTTGCAATAAGGGCTTGAAAACATTCCAACCTGTAATTGCATAATGAGATGTTTATAGGCTACATGCGAGGTAAAACTAATACTCTGGGTTGCAGTAAAATACTACTCAGCCATATTATCTTTCATATTCATGGAGAGATTGAATGGATGAACGGTTATACTGGAGAGAAGAAGCTTGTTGTGTTTGGCACACTGCGCTGAGCTCCTCTGCTATTGGGAGGTCATAAGTCAAAATGATATATTGGCTAATTAAAGTATAAGTGTTGATTTAACACTCACCCACCCAGGGTAAAGATTATAGTATATAAGTGGACATTTCACTTCTTCTTTTTTTTTCCTTTAGACCTTGGAATACTGTCCACTGTCCACAAAGGTTTTATATCCTCTACAACTCCTAATCGTCCTCATAATGCCCGGAGTCTCCCTGATGTTTTACTACAAGCTAAACACCTCTAACGTCCTGCCTGTGGAATGAGATCAAGGCTACCGTAGCGTACACCGCAAAGCAACCCACAGTGGCTGCTGCAGACAAGATGGCCGCCCTGCCAGCCTCTAATTGTATGCAGGCAGTAAATGAGGCAGCCCAATAAAGGCACTGAGATGGTTTTAACAGAGAGAGTCTAGGCTGAGTGCGGTGGAAGGTGCTGGAAGGCTGAGCACAGTGGGGGATGGGCTCAGTGATTGATTGATGGCAGGGAGACGGAGCGTTCTCGACCTTGTTGGATGACGAACTGCCCTCAGGCCTGTGGTTCTCAGGGGAGCACTCCCGGTTTCCCTCCCTCTTGTTACCTGTAGGTTGTTTTTTTTTTTTACTCTTTTCAAGATCAATAAAGGGAATAGGCAACGTCCAGAGTTACAGCCTGTGTTGGGATTCCATTTTGCCATATAATTACAGACCTTGTCAGGGGCTACTGTCTTGTTTTGGTTGCTTCACAACCTCAGGGACAGTGACTACTGAGTGGTAGAAGACTGCAGGAGTCTGATGTCATTACATTGTTTGGTGATTCTTCAATTAGAGACACGGTTGATTTGTGTTGAAGCATGTTACTCAGAATTGAAATAAATAATATTTAGGTAAACATGCTCAATAAAACCCCCAGTAACCTTGCTAGAAAAACCAGCTTAGACCAAATTAAGATCAGCTTAGACTTTACTTAAACTTACTTAAACGTAACCAGCTTGGATCAGGTTTGGATGCTGGTATGCTGGTCAACCAGCATGACAATGCTGGGGTGACGAGCTAAACCATAATCAGACCAGCTTAGACCAGCATATTGTTTTTTTTCATCAGGGAAATGACATGTTTTGTTGATTTTCTAATTAAAAAAAGTTACTACAACCTCAATAGGGAACAAAATTAAATATTGAATTGTTCTGCAACTTCTACTGTATAATTTTGTTTCCTGTTTTTGCTGAGTTTAACATACTGCAAAAAAGAAAACATAAATTCATCAAATAAACAGTAATTATGAATATGTTCTCTGTAGAAGATGTGTTAACTTATTTTCACTTAGGAAATCAACAAAATGTGTAATTTGAGCAGGGGTGCTGAAACTTTGGCGTACAACTGTACATTACTGGCCATGAAGTGCTTAACTGTCAGTTCTCGTTTCCTTAGTAATCACACAAACAATTATTTGGAAAAAAAGTATTTTGATTGGTGTGATGATAATGACATCATTATATAAGATATAGACATTTGAAATTAGTTATTTTTGGAAAATATGAAGCAGAAGTTTCATAAACTTTTGTAGACGAGTGAAAAGTGAAAAATTCACAAATATAAAAAGTAAGAAATATCATTGATGTGGCACAATAAACAATTAGAGCAATTATTACTTAACCTTTTTTTTAAAAATATAATTATTGTATTTCTTATTTTGTTTTTCTTTGAAAATCTATCCAGGGACAAAAAAAAGTTCCTCCTAAGTGAAAAATCACCCTACTATATTTTCAGTGACAGTATACATTAGTTTAAATGATTCTTATATTCCAGTCCTGGTGAGCCAGAACAGAATTGGCCCATCCACTAATTAATAAGCTCTTTGCGAGTTGGGATTAGGTGTGTTGGAGCAGGGAAAATGCTAAACATGACAGGGCTGTAATGTAAGACAGAACACAGTGTACCTTGGCAGTGCTGTGGCTGGACCACAGTGTAGAGCATTCACATTGTACTCACATTCCTCAGTAATGCTCCTCTTTATTCGCCCATGGTGGTCCACCACGCAACTACCATCGCAAACATCCTGTTGCCTTAACCTTGTGCTTGATACATTAGCGTAAACCTCACCACACCACTTCATTGTTGTTTAGGGCGAAGTGATGTTAAGAAAGGCATTTAATACAATTGACTGAACACAGAAATCAATACCAACATCCTTCTCAAATTCTAGCCCATCTTTATTTCAAATTCTAGAGTAGGCCCATCTTTATTTCTATGGTAATGAAGGCTACATGTTATGCTAGCCACCTCTGTTTATTTCATGTTATTCCAGTTTGACTATTAAACATATTAGTAGACAATTACTCACAAAATCTTTCAGCATTAACCAAACAAAAATAAGAGGTTATTGTGTTTACAGAACAGGCCTTGCTTGGTTATAAATCTGTGTGCTACCAATAACTTACTTTAACCCCAAACTGATCACAATTGCAGCTTAGCATTTCCTGAATGTAGGCTGTTGAGTTTAGTTTTAACCTGTAGGCTTCTTGAAATGCTGAATTAGTATCCTCAGCTGCCTTGTGGAAGTTAAAATTAACAAAGGAACGCAGTTGCCTACCTAGCATTAGCATAGCAGATGATGTAAAAGCTATGCTACGTTTTAGGTTCACTAATTACATTTCAAAGGATTCTACTTGGTGGGTAAGTACTTGTGAGTAAATAACACCACGGCTAAGCTAAAGACGTGGAGCTAAAAACCCATTCAGATGGTGTCTGGAATGTGGAGGCATCTTGCCACTAGCTTAGCTAAAGGTATTAGCCTGTTCTTAATATCTATGTATTATAGATAGCTAACATGGTCTCCTACC